TTGTACGCAACATGTTCCTGTTAATCCTTGGTTCGCATAAACTGTCGACAGGTTTGTGTACTCTACAAACACGTACACGAAACATAAGTACAAACATTCATTATGATGGTACTGAATCTTCGTGGTTGCATTTTCTTGAAAATACCATGTTGTCGTGCACCCATATTTGATTTTTCTTGATAAAACCAAACATCCTATTAGCCTATTCATGTCACTCCTCGAAAGCTATATTAAGGATACCCGAAAGTCAAATTCACGGCACATGCAAACTCATGTTATTTCTTGGGTGTAAGTGAAGAAAAGACCAGGTCATACCTTCATTCCAGATGATGCATTTACAGATGTATCAGGACGTGTAAACGCACCGCTGGAATGAGACTACGTAGGTCATGCAGGGTTAAAGTGCTACATGCAGGGAGGGGAAAGTACAACATTCTTACAAACTCCACAAACTTAACGAAGAAAAGAATACGGAGAAGGTTTAGTGATCTCTCTCTCTGTCTTGATGTCCATAAGGAAAGAAGATGGTTACGGCTAGTGAAAGTTAAGTCATTTTTCCATGCTACGCTGATCGTACATATTCAACCATTATTTTCACACATGCAGCTTCATCCTGCTCTACTTTTTGAAAGATATTAGAATTATTTTCACACATGCAGCTTCATACTGCTCTACTTTGTGAAATATATAATTATTTTTACACATGCAGCTTCATCATGCTCTACTTTTTGAAAGATATTAGAATTATTTTCACACATGCAACTTCATACTGCTCTACTTTTTGAAAGATATTAGAATTATTTTCACACATGCAACTTCATACTGCTCTACTTTTTGTAAAGATATTAGAATTATTTTCTACACATGCAGCTTCATACTGCTCTACTTTTTGAAAGATATTAGAATTATTTTCACGCATGCAGCTTCATCCTGCTCTACTTTTTGAAAGATATTAGAATTATTTTCACACATGCAGCTTCATACTTGCTCTACTTTTTGAAATATATAATTATTTTTACACATGCAGCTTCATCATGCTCTACTTTTTGAAAGATATTAGAATTATTTTCACACATGCAGCTTCATACTGCTCTACTTTTTGAAATATATAATTATTTTTACACATGCAGCTTCATCATGCTCTACTTTTTCAAAGATATTAGAACTT